TTATCAAGAATTTTTATCAATAATTTTTTTAGTATTTCAAATACAAAATAGATTGAAATTGTATTTGAAATACAAAATACATTGAATAATTTATTTGAAATACAAAATACAAAATACTTTTATGTGTTCCGCTGAAATACAAAATACAAAATACAAATTGTATTTCAAATACTGTATTTCAAATACTGTATTTCAAATACAAGTATTTGAAATATGCCCAGCCCTGATCATACATATATATAGAAGGGGAAAACGGGAAGTACAAGTGGATTTTCGAGGACGCGAAAGTGTTTTTTTTTTATAAATGCAAAATTAATAACAGGATAATCCGCAATCCCGCGCGAAACGTTCCCCGATGATTTCATCGATCGCCGCCGATTCCTCTAACTCGCGCGAGCGCGCGCGCGCGAGCGCGCGCGCTGTTATGAAAGAGCGTAATCGCGTCAAGGACGACGCTCCAGGCAGCTGATCTGTCCTTTAACAGCGATAATAATCTTTCTCTTACCTTCGCGGCGACGACGGAAGGCATATACGAGAGTGTCTATTATAATCCACGCGTAACGACGACGTCCCCCTTTTGCAGTCGAGAGTCGCACGGGGCTTGCGCCACCGCGGTAGAGAAAAACATGTCGACGAGGAGGAAGACGGGGAGGACGAAAACGATCCCGCCGGACGGTGGATGGGGCTGGGTGGTCCTATTTTCCGCCCTCGTCGTCAACTTCCTCATCCCCGGCACCGTCAAGTCCTTCGGCGTGCTGTTCGTCGAGTTTCTGCACGTTTTCAAGGCGTCATCCACGGCGGCCTCCTGGATGCCGGCGTTATGCTACTTCTTGTACAGCTCGTTAGGTAAGCAGTTTTTTTTACAATGATATATACGCACATTTCAATAGCTGATTTCAAATTCGAGCGTGCTGCAGCTTATTTATAATAAATTCTGTTTAATTATACATATGCGCAAAAATTTATGGAGGTGTGCGAATAGTTCGAATTCGAATCGAATCGAATCACAGTGGATTCGATTCGAGTTCGTTTTCGAATCTGTAAGAAATCGAATAATTCGAGAATTTCGAATCGATCGCCTATTGTATTTGCTTCATTTATATCTCTTGCGCGAGATTTATATCTCCTCAATTATTCTCCCGGGAAACAATTTTTTATATAAGAACATATATAAATATATTTAAACATATATAAAAATATATATAATTATATATGTACTTTTATATATAATTATATATAATTATATATTTTTATATATATTTATATATGTTCTTACATGAAAAATATTTTCCCGGGTTTCTCTAATAGATATAAAGTAAGTATTTTTGATGTATGTAATGTATTTATGTATGTAGATTAATAAAATGTTCGAAAACATTCTAATTATTCGCTATTAAATTAGTTACTATAAAAAATTTAACTAAATTAAATTTAACTAATTAAATTTAACTAAATTAAATTTAACTTAAATTTAACTAAGTTACAGTTACACATGGATATTTTCTAGTTCAAAATGTCACTGCATAAATCACGATCCTTTGTAATAAGATGTAAATGGGTCGAAAATAGGTCTTCAGTTTGTTTAATTCATTGCGTAAAATAATGTAAATCATAAATTTCGATATTTATTATTACGTTTAAATTAACATGTAATGTAAATCAGGGAAAATTTGATTCAGATTCGATACGTATTCGAATTAAAAAGATTCAATTCGATTTGATTTCGAACATGTTATAAAAAATTCGATTCGATTCGACCATGCTGCAAATGCTTGATTCGCACATCTCTAGAAATTTACTTTATATGTATATTATTTTACGAGCGAAATTTTGCTTTAAAAAAAAACCCACACTTTTTGGTACATTATCCTTACACGTACATATTTGTAAGATAAATAAAAATACTACACGATATATGTATACATCGCGTATATATCCTGTAAAATTGCAATATATTTCGCAGGTCCTTTATCTAGTATTCTGTCGACCAAGTACTCCTATAGAACAGTAACTCTCATCGGCGGCACCTTTGCGGCCAGTGGCATGATGCTGAGCTACTTCGCCAATTCGGTTACTTATCTTTACGTCAGGTATACAGTTTCTCTTTGTCGACTGACGTACACAGTTCGGGTGAACATCGCAAGTGTGAATAGGCAAACATGCAGGCTGTTAACAGTTCTGATTTTAATAATTATACTATGATGAAACGTCACGAAATATTGTGTAACGAAAGCCGGTTGTTGAAGCACTTAAGACGAAAGGTCTCCTTGATTTGCGTATATTACACAACTCTTGCCAGCTGATAAAGTCCGTTTCTCTATACTTAGTATACTTCTTAGTAACTTCTCAAGTACTTGGTGTACTCGCGAAACACTGCATGAAACATCGCCTTGCGTACACTTGTATGCGGAGAAATAGAAAGAAATTAACATTTTTATAACATTTCTTACACTGAGAAAAAAAATTGATTGTACACGGAGAGAATTTTCTTTTAAAATTTACCCTGAAAATCATGTTAATTGTGAGACAATATATAGTATTTAGGTAAATTTTACTGTGCACTACAATAAATTTTACTGCGAAATCTTATTGTAGTGCACAGTAAAATTTGCCTAAATACTATATTGTTCCATAATTAACATGATTTGCAGGGTAAATTTAAAAAAAAAATTCTCTCCGTGTACGAACTAAATTTGTATAGTTGGTTGATTCAACGATTCTTTAGTTGCACAAAGAAAAGTATAGTTCATTCATGTCAACGATCTAGCGTGTCCGACGAGTACAAAGTAATTGGACTACAATTTATATTCACTCAAAATTTTCACATTAAGAAAATATTCATTCAAATAGTTATTCAAATTTCTGCTTTTAAAAATATTTATTCGTGAATATTTTATGATTATTTTATGATTTATTCATACAAAATGTAAAATAAAAAAGAAAGTAAAAAATAAATTGTATATATGGTTATTAATATCCAGATTTGATAAAAAAATCTTACAAATTTTGAAAAAAAATTTTTATTTAAAAGTCTTTTATTCGCAACAATAATTCTTTTTATGATATATAATTTTTATTGTCTATATTCTTGCAAACCAGAAAGATACAGTAAAATCGAACACTACAATTTCGTACGGATTACAATAACAGTAATGTTAATTCTATAAGGTATTTTAAGTGCTTTAGCATCTCATGGATGCTAAATCAAATATATTGTTTAATTAATAGATTTCTCAGAATCCCCAATAAAAGCATTGGCAATAGCTCTCATTTTCTCCTCGGTATCATTGTATTTCTTAAACTTAAATCAAGTTCGAAGGTAGAATTTTAGTGTGTAGAGTGGGGGTGAATGCGAATTAGAAAATATTCGTAATCATATTCACAAATATATTCATTCAAATTGTATAAAAAGTATTTATTCAATTTTCCATGAATATAAAAAAAGTAGTATTTATACTTGTATTCATTATTTATTTATTTATTCGAATATTGGATGTATTCATCGGACACGCTACACCATCAAAATTTGTTAATCAAGAATTAACTAAACTAACTCAATTAAATTATTTTGTTTGAAATATTAGTTGTATTTATTTATATTTGCACATGTTATTTAGTTATCCAAGTAATATATTTGTTCAAATTCCAAATATTAAACTGCACTAAACGATGCTGATGGTGATAATAAATGGTGTGTATTTTTAATCGAACGGTTGAATTAAATACGATAAATTTTTGTTGAAACAAAATTGTTTAATTAAAAAATAGTATTTTGTTTATAATAGCAGATTATTTTGTGCCATCATGGTTTAGTTCGGACTGATCGTATCGGACTGAATATTTTGGTAAAATGAAACAAATTTTGCATTTTTCAACAATTTTTTTTCTTGTCAGTGTACGAATTTTTATGGAAATAACAGTTATTCTTTTGACACATGTATAGTTACGGTCTTATGGTCGGGATCGGGGCTGGATTATCGTTTCCACCGACGGTCTACATCGTCACGCAATACTTCGAGAAGCTACGGGGGATGGCGAACGGTCTGTGCATTTCCGGTAGTGCGATCGGCACTATAGTGCTGCCGCCGTTACTACAGTATCTCTTGGACTGCTTCGGATACAGGTAATTTGTCAAGAGATTCCATATATCTCTGATAATTATCTATTTGCATTTATAAGAGACATATGGAAGAGCAGTTATTAGAAAAACTGAATGTGAATTATTCAGATGTACCTCTCGGCTCCGGTTTCGAGAACGAGATATCTATTCCGCCGAGAGCGCGGCGCTTCCGCACAAAAGACTTTATACATAGTCCCAGCTGCATGCTTTCGAGGGATCGGAAAATAGTAGAAGTGCGCTACTCCGAAGCGGCTTGGGAAGCCACACGACACAAAAAGCCTTTCGCAAACCTACGCCGAAACCTTCGTTTCAAGAAACAGTCTCGCAGACGTCGAATACAATGAAGCCTCGTCGTAATTCGGAAATTCTAATTCCTCCAATTTTCTATGCGTTCAGTAGTAGAGAGAGAGAGAGAGAGAGAGAGAGAGAGAGAGGGAGAAAAATTCAACAAATAAATTAAGAGAGGTTTCAGGTTTGCCGGCCGTAAAATTCGGCCCTTTTTCATGAATTGTTTTGAGAAAATCTATTATATACAGTAAAACGCGGTTTTTGCATAAATTTTTATATTATTTGAACAGCAAAAAAAATATTTTTTATTTATATAAAAATGTATTTTAATGCTTCCAAGCAGCGATTGAATGTGGCATGTTTTTCGAGCTGACGGAAGTAATTACGAAAAAACGAATTAAGATATCGACTTGATTCTTTTTTCCTCTTGATTCTAATACTTTAACGCATGGCGTGAACTAAAACCATGATTTTACAACAAACATTCAATTTGTTATTAATAAAAATTAAAAAAATTTTTAGGGCAGAGAATTTTTTTTCAAATGGCTACCATTTTTACAAATTTCAGGCAATTGACATCATTTTAGTTCATGCCATGCGTTAAAGTATTAGGATTAAGAGGAAAAAAGAATCGATATCTTAATTCGTTTTTTCGTAATTATTTCCGTCAGTTCGAAAAACGTGTTACATTCAATCGCCACGTGGAGGCATTAAAATACATTTTTATATAATTTTTATATGAATAAAAAATATTTTTTTTGCTGTTCAAATAATATATAAGTTTATGCAGAAACCCGCGTTTTACTGTATATAACAGATTTCCTTAAAAAAATTCATGAAAAAGAACTTTTACGATCGGCAAACCTGAAACCCCCCTTAAGGAATTAGTGGCAGTCAGCAGGTTAAAAAGAAGCACTTTTTTGCGATTTTTTTTCAAAGATTTATTTTGATACTTTTAATTTAAAAAAATTGAATGCATTATAAAATAAGTTTTAAGGAATGTTTGGAAAAATTTTCATGTAGAAATATTCATTTTTTTGGGGCATAACGCCGATGGCCTTTTAAAAAAGGTGGTGGCTTGCGGTGAGCGAGATTTCTCGGGACTGGATCATCTATATAAAAGCAAAAATACGGATGGATTTAAAAAACATATTAGTTTTGTCGGTCTCTGATCGAAGAATTTTGGAAAAAATTAATTAGAAAAAAAATGGCGGACATTTGGAAGTGAAAAGTCAATTTTTACCTAAAAAAGCGTTTATTTCGAGAATAAAAAAAGTGTACAAGAAAATAAAAAATCCTTCGATTAAGGTCCGGCAAAACTAATATATTTTCTAAATCCATTCATATTTTTGCTTTTATATAGATAATCCAGTCCCGAGAAATCTTGTTCACCGCAAGCCACCTTCTTTAAAACGCCATCGGCTGTTATGTCCTGCAAAAAAATGAATATTTTTACATGAAAATTTTTCTAAATATTCCTTAAGACTTACTTTAATGCTATAAAATTTTTTTAATTAAAAGTATCAATAAATTTCTGAAAAAAAATCGCAAAAGTGCTTCTTCTTACAAGGGACCCTCACAAAGTGCACAATAGCTACAGCATAGAGAAAATTATCCAAGCATCTTGACTCCCTTTGGATCACTTTCCACCCAAAAACTAGACCGAACATAAAATAAATATAAATAATAAAATAATAAAATAAACTTTATTTTTTTTTATTTTTTGATAAATTATCCAAGCATCTTGACTTTAAATCACTTTCGAACCAAAAACTAAACCGGAAATAAAATAAATATAAATAATAAAATAAATTTTTTAAAATAAGTTTTCCCTACGACAGGCATCGAAAAATTAAAAAAAAATTTATTTTATAATTTTATTATTTATATTTATTTTATTTCCGGTCTAGTTTTTGGGTGGAAAGTGATCCAAAGGGAGTCAAGATGCTTGGATAATAATTTATCAAAAAATTAAAAAGAAAATAAAATTTATTTTATTATTTATGTTTATTTTATTTCCGGTCTAGTTTTTGGGTGGAAAGTGATCCAAAGGGAGTCAAGATGCTTGGATAATTTTCTCTATACTGTAGCTATTGTGCACTTTGAGGGTCCCTTGTTAGCCTGCTGACTGCCATTAACCCCTCAATAGAAGTCTTAGTCTAAAGCAAATAAGAGTAAGAAAAAAAAATAATAATAAAAATAATAATAAAATAATAATCATAATAACGAAGTTGTCCAAGTTGAAGTTTTATCTAAACAATTTCTTTCTCGCCCCTTAAAAAATAAAGCTGGACGCATACCTTACTTGAAATAGGTTTCATTGTCACGTTCCAGAGGAGCTGTGCTCATCATGGGTGCGATCACGCTGAACACGCTGGTCTGCGGCCTCCTGTACCACCCGGTCGAGCAGCACATGAAAATTGTGCCCCTGGACGAGGGTGTCGATAACGAGGCGCTGACCCTCGACGAGCCTGCTCTCGGCGTGAAGCGGGAGTCGACCACCGAGAGGACGGGGGAGGACGTGAGATTCGACGGCGACGGGCCGATACGCAAGTTCTCGGATCTTTCGCACAACGTGGTGCTGAAGTCGACCACCGAGAAGGCGTCCCGTGTCGAGCCCGAAAGGAAATTGGCTTACAAGACGAACGAGACGGTCGTGGGGTTGCGCTACAACGCCGTCGAGGACAGCGACTCGTGGAGCACGCAGGAGGAGATCCCGCGGGAGAATGTCGGGAACGAGTTTCGCATGCGGTCGTCTCGCCCGGGTCTCGCCGGGGAGGACGACGACAGTCATCCGAGCAGCGATACACGTAACTCATCGCGGCGAGGCAGTTTTGCCGCTGAGAAAGACGTTAGGTCGCAATTGGACTCCGTGAAGGCTGCGGGAGAGAGCGCGACGGAGGACAGCAGCAGGGTGCAGCGCGTCGAGGAGCCGAAGCGGGACGACGCGCGCTCGAGATCGATCCGCGGGACGTCGAAGAAGCGCGGCGACGGCAGCAGCAAGGCCGAGAAGGCGCCCTTCTTCGACCTGAGCGTGCTGAGGGATCCCATTTACCTGGTGATCCTCATCTCCAACTCCACGTCGGCCATCAGCAACACGAACTTCATGATCCTACTGCCGTCCTACGCGATCGCCGAGGGCTTCGACAAGAACTCGTCGGCCCTGCTGCTGTCCGTGGTCTCGGCGCTGGACCTGATCGGCAGGATCGGCGGCGCGTCCCTGTCGGACATCGACTTCATGCCCAAGTACTACTACTTCGTCGGCGGGCTCGGCACCAGCGGGATCGCGCTGGCCCTGCTACCGATGGCGACCAGCTACACCATGCTGTCGTTCTTCTGCGGCCTCTTCGGCCTGTCGTCGGGCATGTACATCGGCATCACCACGGTCATCCTCGCGGACATGCTCGGCACGGAGAAGCTCAGCTCGTCCTACGGGATCTCGCTGTTCGTCAACGGCGTGCTGCAGCTCGTCGGGCCGCCCGTTTGCGGTATCATCTTCGAGAACGTGCTCTCGTACAAGCCGATTTTCTTGGCCTTCGGGATCATCCTGATCTTGGGCACCGCACTCTGGGCGGTGGTGCCGCTCATCAATAGAAGCAACAAGAAGGACATAGAATTGGCGATATAGAATTCCCGCGGATGGTCGATCTACCGCGGCGCTTCGACGACGACGACGACGTGTGTCTTCCGACGAATCGATTTACAAATGAGCGTTCCGTAAAAGACTTTAAGTATTACAATTATGCGATCGAGTTGTTGGAGATTCAACAACAACGTTCTTAGATACTTTTAAACTGTGGAACAGCCAACACTCTTAAATCGTTGTATATTTCTAGGTGAATTTGAGACAGACACTTGTGTGTTTTTTTTTAAATATTTGTGCTTTAAGAGAATGCTAAAGCCGTCTGTTTTATCGACAAAAATACTATTTTTGTTGGATACAAAATACTTCGTATTAATTGCATAGAATAAAATTTCCTTTTCCACGATTAAAACACACATGCTAATGTATCTAGCTCTGGTGTGTTTTGTACCAAAAACAGGAAAACATTAAGAAATTACAGATTTTCGTTATCCATTTTAACCTCAACATGGCGAACTAATACTATCAATTTACCAAAACGTTTACTTCGTGAAAAAGTTA